TTTCCTCTTCTTTTTCCTTTTCTTTTCTCTTCCATTTCTTTTTCTTTTCTTCTCTTATCTACAGTAACAGAGCAAGCCCCCTTTTCCTCTTCTTTTTCCTTTTCTTTTCTCTTCCATTTCTTTTTCTTTTCTTCTCTTATCTACAGTAACAGAGCAAGCCCCCTGACCTCCTTGCTTGCAGGGTGTCTTGATGATGGCAGGGACCTGCTAACAACTGGAGGTTTTCCTCTTCTTTTTCCTTTTCTTTTCTCTTCCATTTCTTTTTCTTTTCTTCTCTTATCTACAGTAACAGAGCAAGCCCCCTGACCTCCTTGCTTGCAGGGTGTCTTGATGATGGCAGGGACCTGCTAACAACTGGAGGTGGCTGGCGACGAGTCCCTCCCTGGAGCTAGGGTTTGTTGTGTTGTTCCCTTTTTATTTCAGGATTCAAAACCTAACTGTGAAACTCAATTCAATATCAAACTATCATCATCATCCTCGTAATACTAGAAATCTAAATTGGGTAAGAAGAGGATTTATACCTTGATTTGAGTTGGCATTTAACTTGACTCTCCCTGTTCTCTTTCCTTCCCTTCTCCTCTTTCACCTCTCCAGCAAGAGATTTCGTTTCCAGCCAGAAGATTTGTAGTGGGGGGTTTGTTAATTTTTTGTTCCTTCTTATTCAGTTCCCTTTTCCCCTTCTTTTTCTTGTCCCCCTCTTAAGGGGGTACCTCATTTCTCTCCAGCAGCAGAGAGCCACCAAAATGTGGAGGTGGCAGTGAGCCTCAGTAGGTTTGAGGGAATTTTACACAAAACCTCCAATTAAAATCATATTTGCACATATTCCCTGTTTTAAAATAAGGATATAATTAATTAATTGCTTAGGGCTACGACACTAGGCCTAGGAGGATTTATTTAAGTGGTGGCGGAGGAGGTTTTGTTGTAGGTTAAGAGGAGTGGGAGGACTTGTTCATAGTCGGTGGAGGAGGTCAGAGGAGTTTAGAGGATGTTAGAGGACGTGGAGGAAGCAATGGAGGAAGTCACAACCTAGATCTAGCAGTGTAGTCCGCATAAGCGGTCTTCACTCCCAGGCGCTCTCAAGACCTAGGCAAACAGAGCCTAGACGGCCTAGGTAGCGTCCAGGCCTAGGCGAGAGCTTAAGACATTGAATTGGAAACACGCATAGAACATCATGCTAAAACTTACCACCTTGTTTCAAGAAACAATCACCATCCTTACTATGACATAGTTAATGTCATTTCAGCAGAAATAAAAAGACAAGTCTACACAAGCCTATTGCTTCTGTTTTAGATCTCCTAAACTCACAATGTAGCATTGATCAATTTTGGATTATAACATAGATTCATAGATTGAATATCTCCATTAATTTTCCCTTTAATGAGAACACTGTCATATGCGGCATCCTGAGATACATGCTTTTTTCCAATTTGCTGTTGTTATTGTATAGCATATTTAGGCTTCAACTCAACCGGGCTCAGCTCTGTTCGGAGCGAATTCCTCTAGAACCAGTGCATAATCTTTTTTTTTTTCCTTTTTTCTTTTCTTGAAAATACTTTTGCAGGCATGCATTCTTGCCGTCGGTCGAGGTAACAAGGTTGTTGAACCTGTAGTTGGAAGTGATGGTATGTTTCAGCTCTCATAGATAAGTTGTCCCTGACTAAATTCTGCAATGATACACACGTCTGCGCTCTTTTTCAGGAATTGAAAAACCTACAGTAGTCACAAAGATGAGCTTGAACTTATCTGCTGATCACCGAGTTTTTGAAGGTGGTGTAGGAGGTAAGAGCAAAAGGATGTTTCTTTCTCAGACCAGTTAGATTGGACGATTGTTGACATTTGTTATTTTCTTTCACAGGTAAGTTCTTTTCGGCTTTGAGAATGAACTTCAGTGATGTTCGAAGACTTCTTCTTTGAAGCACGCATAGAAGAGAAGAAGACTCGAGTCGCGTTTGTGTCATCAATGCAAAATCGAAGTCACCATAGGTTGCATAGAGCAATAAAATTGTGAAAGCCATTAATTGTGGTGCTCCCACTGAGAGGAACAACAATTTTCCCTAGGCTTTGTCCGAAACATCAAAATTTTTTGTGTGCTGGCCTGCCCAGCACGTAATTTCTTTTCAAAATTGCTTCTTTTTTGTGCAGTTTGAAGTTGTTAAAGTTCTTTTTTTCCTGGTTGAGGTGTTATAATTTTTCAGCTATAAAAGCATGCATGTAATCATTTTTTAAATAAAATTGGATTTTCTCATTTGAAGCTGAGTTGGACACAATTCAAGTATTTGCATGATAGTTATGGTTTATTAATAACAGCTTTAATTTTGAAGTGCTTGCTCCGCATCTTGCTAATAGGCTACACGATATTTGGGGATCAAGTCAGAAATGATTTTAGCGAGTTGGCAGACCAATGTATATTTCCATAAAATCACGAGACGCGCAGGTTAATGTTCATTTTTCTTCCGATAACCTCCCATAATTTTCCTTTTTAAGTCAATCTTTTGACTTAATTTTGCTTGCAGTTGCGTTTTTATGAATTTGATATTAATGAAAAGTTGAAATTGTGAAATTGACAAAACTCTCAAGACCTGTGAAATTGAAAAGAAAAAAAAAATCAAGGTAAGAAAGATGGTACAATTAACAAGTTGAATGCCACGTACAAATTTATATTAAAAGTTTGATCTACAATGAAAGTACTCTACATGAGCTCAAGCATTTTTTGTTTAATTTCAAAGTTTAGGAATATAATATAAAATTTTATTCCGTGTGCGCTAATGCATAGTTAGAAGAAATGATTAGAAAATAAGGACTAGAAATAGGTCTAACAGAACTTATTGTTGTAATCAATTAAGAAAGATACAATAATAGTTAACATAACCGAGAATGTCCTTTTTAACAGAGGTCTAACAGAACTTATTCTTATAATCAATTAAGAAGGATACAGTAATAGTTAACATAACGAGAACGTTCTTTTTAACAGAACTTTGGATAGAACCGGTTGGAATCTCATATTTGTTTCAATTATAATTACAAATAAATCATCAAACAAACAGACCAACAACTTATAAACTAAAAATTTCCTCCTAAAATCAAGCCCCTCCAACGTGTACTCGTCCACAAAGATGGAAAAAGATCCGCAATCTATAGGATCCTCACAATCATAACCACCTCCCCCCTAAAATCCCGACGCTTCTCTCTTTTTATAGTTTAAACCCCCACCCCCCTCTATCGGCTCTTTTTCCCTCCACCATTCATTCCAAAAACAGCAAGCGATAAAAAAAAAACGGTACTAACACTAAATGCAACCTAAAAAAAAGCCTCAACACAAACTCTCTCTCCTCTCAACCTTCACCTCTCCATTAACCATGAACGCAAATCCTCTCCGAGTGAGGAAAGACTCCCATTCGATCAAAAAACCCTCCTCTTCCTCCTCCAACCGCCCGGTCATCATCTACGCTTCGCCGCCTAAAGTCATTCACACTAGGCCGGAGTGTTTCATGGAGTTGGTCCAGAAGCTCACGGGGTTACAAGCGCCAGGAGCGAGCAGGCGTTGCGGCGCCAACGCCTCTTGTTCTTCGGCTTCTTCAGGCTGGCTCGTAGCCAAAGCCTGAAACTATGTGCAATAATTATTATCGTATCCTCAGAAAAGGGAGCCGGTTGCATCCATCCAAATCCTTTGCGCTTTTCTCCTTGAGACTTTTATAAGTCCACGATAGAATTTAACTTCCGTATATTTCACTTTTCTTTTTTATTTTCATCTAGAATTTTGGAAACTGATAGTTTTTGTTTGGCAAGGGCTTAATTACACAATGGACGAAGACGTTTATATGAGAAATTCCTCCTGTTTCGAACACAGAACTTCTCAAATCACAATCTTAGGAGGATGCAGGAAAATAGTATATTCAATAATTTTTGCGAAGGTATAAATAAGAATGAGATGTGGGCTACACGAGGAAAAGTTACAGAATTGGCTTATAGAGAACATTATGTAAAATTCCAAATTCACAGTGCAGCATGATACGTTCATAATAGATCTTTTGCTGTGCTTCAATCGGAAGTTCTTCAATGCAAACATTTTTTTTTTAATAGTAAAAAAGGATAAGTAGTACAAGATTGATACAACACCAGCAAAACTAATACAAATCCCTCCTTCACACCGAAAAAAAGGAAATTCGTAAGGGAGAAAAAAAAAAGGAATTCAAATGCTCAGACAATCATCCTGCAATAACATCACCTTCCAATTTTGCAACTGGAAGAATCTTTAGGCTTCAGCAACACAAAATGCTCAGTTTATCATTAGATGTCCTTGAATGCAGCAAACAGATCTCCATGAACATAGTCGTTGTCGACCAGACTAACCAAGTAGTAAGTTCTTTGGATCTGCAGAAATTAGATAAAAAAAAAGGTTTCTCAGAGGAATGAATGAAGCCTGAAACATTGCAAAAATAAAGAGGTACGGTAACTGCAACAGAAGCTGAATTATCACAAGGGCAAATTTCGGAACAGGGCCATAAACTCTGGGGGGTTCTACACAAGACTACTGTAAAATTTAAAGAAATTATCACGACCTTTCAAAATTGCAGAAAACAGCATGAATTATTAAGAATTTGTTTCTAATGGCATTAACAACTTGGATAGGTCTAAACTACTACTACTCCTTGTATCTATCAACTCACAAAGTTCATACGGATAACATAGAGAGGGGGAAAAAAGTATATAAGAGCAAAATTGTCCAAAACATGCACATGCGAGGCACGTCACAACCTAACTGACATCATGCATGGTAGTTTAGGGAATTATTCTCTTGAATAAAAAAAGTTTACATGGTAGTTTTGCGCAAACACTGAAAATATCATGATAATTTTTGTGAAATTTACCCTAATATTCCGCTAATAAAAATGTTTGTACGGTAGCTGTGTGAAAAACACTGCAAGATCATGATATATAACTTTTGTGAAATTTACCCTTAACATAAAGGTGCAAAAAAGCAAAGAGAATCATATGTTACACTGACGGAAAAGATGAAGATAGAATAAGCATAAATGCAAATATAAATCACCAGTTCTAGTAATTCTTTCGAAGGATCATCCTCAGGGAACAAGCAAGCCCAACTCTTTGTCCAGATCTCAAAGGCCTCATCTTTCCAAACCATGAAACTTGCAGGATCAACAACAGTCGGCTGGACGATTTCTTTAGCAGGGAAAACACCCCAAGTCACTGCGTTGACTGCATTTGGGCCTACATTAGACACACAAAGCCCTCCTCTGTTCACTCCGATATATGTGAGAGACGGCAATGCCTTGCATTTCTCAACTAAGAGGTCTAGCTTTTCTTTTGAACAGAAAAATTCGAGATAGGCCTTTTGATAAACATAGCCACCTGGGCCTCCCCATCCTGCTCAACGACACAAAAAAGAGTGAAAGAGATGTTGTGAGTTGGTAAATGTTAAGCTTTGATGTAAATCTTATTGAAAAAAGCTTTTGATGTGCAAGAGAATAATAATGACTGAATGTTGGCAGTTAGTTTTCACAGTGGTTGAAAAATCCATCATCTAGTTTAGAGCCATCGGTAATTGATTTTCATTTTAACAGCTTTTTACTGTATGGAATAACTACTAGGATTTAATATATATAATTACTAAAGATAAAAGAATAAAGAATTTAATTAGGCAGCACTAAATCCTTCATTTTTTATGTTTTCACGCTTAAAATGCTACAGAACAAGAAGGATTAATAAGTAGTAAGTTATCACTTCCAAAGGATGTCAGATACTGAAGCAGGGATCGGAGTAATGATAGGGAGTAATTATGTCACATGTTGACTTACTGCAACAGCATGAAGAACACATTTCACTTACCAACTGATGGGGAGTCAGATTTCTCTCCATTAACTGCAGGCTGGCTATTGATGGTTAGAAAACCCTTTAAGTTAACATTTGCCAATTTCTCGTCTATTATCTTAGTCTCAGCTTGAAGCCCATCTAACTCTGACCATGGACTACTTCTAAGTTTCCCAAGGCAGTAGTTCATAAACCTCTGTCATAGGTTGTATATGAAAGAGTTAGATAAAAAATTCAATCAGAAGAAAAGGTAGTAGGAACGTACCTCATGTACATCCTCAAACGATTTCAATGGGGTGGCCCATTCCTCTTGAAGCTTTTTGCCACGTGATCGTGGACGCATGAACTGTCAATAATGTATTTAAATTACGATGAAACTCATAACAATGACCAAACTAGTAGCCACTACGCTGAAAGAAGTCACAAAAAGCATTTAGATTACACGAAATCATCAGTCAAAGAGTTACATCTAAGAAAAATATAAAAGACAAATCATTTGCCATAGTATGTAAAGACATCTTATAGATTTCTTAAACTATTTGTTCCTGAAACCTTTATGATACCATCACATACCAACATCATATTATTTTGTTCTTGGATAAATAAGTGCTTTTTTGCCGTGCTGTAAAGTTCAGAGAAAACTAAATGCCTCTCCGAAGAGGGAAAAAATAGTGAAAAATGCAGAAGGATACTTTCCAAAACGAACTTCTTCGTTTAAATATAGAATACATCCAGATCACTTAAAAGTATTCAAAACACATCAAATACCCCTCTAATAGAGGGAGATTTTTACAAGATTCGAATAATTCAAGAGTTTGCCTGACATCTGACATCTTTTATACTAAAGGAGACTTCAGAAAGAGAGAATAAATGAAAAACAATTTATAATTTACCTGGTAGTCACTAAGTGCTCCGTATGATGGGTTATTAGAATCACCCCATCTACCGCGAGGGTATTGATCCCAACCTAGAGTCCTGGAGATGTAGCTTTTTGGACGGTTTGCCCTAAATCACAAAGAGAATTCAGAAGATAAGAATTTCTAAGTTCCTAGTGTCAGATTTAGCATTCAAATCCAATAGCGATAAACTTTTACTACCAAAAAATTGGCCGGACATCTTCTTTAACACGGAAAATGTTCGTCGCGGGTCTCCATGGCAAGGACCTTGAGAGTTTAGACTCTTCAATTAATCCAAGATTCTACAAACAGAAGAAGAATCATTAGTAACATCAACTGAAATGTAGGCAACATTCATAAATGGTATCATATGGAGCATCACCATTAATATGGCCAATGCAGACTTCTCCATGTTCAGTGTGTACATATGCAATGTTTTTATCCCATGAGCTAGAATCTTCTTGCACATTTCAGTTCCTAAGTGAATTCCGTATGCTTTCACAGCCTCTTCGTTATCTTTAATTGGCTCCAGAGCAGCCATGATCTCAGGTGGAATCTGCAATGAAACAATAGATGCATCATCAAATAACTTTCAAAGAAATCTTTAACTAGCTCTAACAGTACCATGTAAAAGAACAAATAATTAATTATGGAGACAATGTTTCAACTTTCAACTATAACATTGATAACCTGAAGACTTGGGTATGACTTCTACTTATTTATTAAATGCTGGGTTAAACTTCTGCTAAGAATATATACTGCATTATTATGTAGTTCATTAAGTCAAAACAGTCAGTTGTTAACATCCCAATTTTAAGTTTTCAAGCCTTGTTAAGCAGAAGACCGTGTTGTGGAAACTATGGAAGGAACTGAACGTCTAGAACAGAAAGAATGATGAATATATGTGCTATGTTCGAATTGGTTGTTGGGTTGATTTTTTTATGCATTTGTTCTTTAGAAGAGGTTCTTCCGTGGGCTGCCTAGATGGTGTAATTAGTCCTCGTAAGTACCTTGTATACACATTATTATGGTTGGAGTTCTTTACTGTCTCCTAATTTCTCAAAGAAAAGAGAAAAATTAACGATTAAGATAAACAACAGCAAGATATCTGGTTCAAACAATAAATCTAAACTGATACATCCAAAACAAACCCAAAAATGGATTAAACTTTCTGGAAAATTGAGCTTACTCTAGTTTTGCAGAATCCAGTCATCCGCAAAAAGCCTTTGTAGTTATTAATTGGCATGATGCCAGGGACTATTGGGCAAGTAATCCCAATTTGACGACAGTCGTTTACAAACTTGAGAAAAATATTAGTATCGTAAAACAGCTGGGTGACAATAAGATCAGCCCCAGCATCCACCTGAAACAGATAAAGAGGAAGAAAAGAATGAGCACAATATCAGGACCATGAACATCAGATAAGAGAAGTATGCCCGTAACGTATAACCACTAGACTGTGATCATTGCAAAAACTATATCTCCCTTTGCCTAGGACATAAAAGATTTCTTTTTTTTTATTTTCACCATAGAAGCTTCTAATACATTATTAGAGAACTATACACAATATGATTAAGCAAAATCTGATGACGAAAGCAAGTAAGCAATCAAGATACTGAAGGTTAAAAAATTGATTAAATAACTAGAAATAGACATTATACCATGTACAAAAACCACATTTAAGTGTACCTTTCTCTTTAAGTAAGTAAGATCATTGTTGTAGGCCTCTAGAGTTGCTACTCCATCAGTATCTATCATGTCAGGATGTGCCTCTGATAGGGGGAGTTTTATTTAGAAGATACAATAGCTGAGACTTACAGTTGAACAACAAAGCAATTCGATGGTACATAAGAAAATACCTGGGTAGCCAGCAACAGTGATGCCAAAGTAATCACCATACTTAGATCGCATGTGCTGGACCTGTACACAAATTATAATAAACAGAGCTAAGTAGTAGACTAGAAAACAGAGGACAGTTCGAAGAGAGCCAATTCTTAGTTTTCTAACTATTAGGGGAATAAAAGAATATAACTCTATCACTAAATTTTCTTACAATGAATAATCCAAGTACAAAGGGAACGTTGAAGGATAGGTGAGCTGGATATTTTTAAAATTACTAATCACCACTGTCATTCAAGCCTTGGCTGAATAGAAAGGTCACTTATAGTTCACAGCTCTGAGCTAATAAGGCTCCACAAATTGAATGAGCAGATTTCTACAGTAAAATGTCTACGAGGAGTAAAACTATATGAATTACTACTTTCAAATATAGGCAAGATCAAAATGTGTCATACTATATGAATCGCTACTTCCAAATATAGGCAAGATCAAAATGTGTACATTATTTTTAGAAAAAGACACTAGCATGAGACGGTAAATACTCTCATGAAAAGACTCCTGCAACACAAGCGTGAGAATAAAAAATCTTGAGGAAACTAAAGATGCAAACACTAAAGATGAAAACGGGTTACCAAATCAAGTGCGCAAGCGAATCCCCCGGCAACTTGCACAAATTTATCTTGACCATGAGGAGGGTCTCCTCTAAGTGCCAGAACATTTTGAATCCCATTGGTCTTGATAGTATCAAGAGCATGGTCAATTTTCTCTACAGGCATGTTCGTGCATGTTAAGTGCATCATCGTTTCCACACATATCTGCAAAGGCATAACATAAAGTATATTGTTACAAGATGGACTTCGCATCAAGTAGTTGAGATTTTTTTTTATTTACTTGATCATGGATATCATATCACTAGTTTCCTAAAGTTGCAGCATAATCTAATCAGATTATATTATCCTATTTATTAGTTTGAACCTCTCTCTGGAAATCTGGCAAGAAACAGCTCAAATCAAAGCGCAACCCTCTCCACCGCATTCTAGTTATTTTCTCTTTCTTTTTGAATTTGAGTCTTACCCATTTTTATTCTGAGCTAAACGCTGTCACATAGTTGTATTAGTCGTGGTTTACAAAAAAATCATGACACTACTTAAAAAAAAAAATCCAATCTTTCATATTTAAACGATAAACTGAAATGCTATCAATTGAAGGCGAAGTACATATGAAGTCTAGATCTCCAATAATTCTGTCTTTCGCTCCAATCTTCCTTCTCTTCTGCCAACAAAACCTTCACCAACTATAGAAATTAGACTACTCCCTTCGCAAAATTTTCATCTTTCTCCAGATACAAGGATCCATTTTCTCTTATCAACGCAGATCTAGCTCAAAAACACAAAATCAGCCACCAATCCAGTTTCAGTAGCAACGCCAACAGATCTGGATCCTTCCTAATCAAGATCCAGATCTAAACAAATGAAATTAAATTAAAATAAAACAAGCAAAGCAAACTCATCGAAGATCTCATCGGATCCAAAAACAGCTCACCATGTTCTGCATGCGGTTGGCGATGTCCAGCGTTAGATCGGCGTGGATCCGCCGGGCCGCCACGTAGTCGCACGAACGTAGGGTTGTGGCCACCATCGAGCCTATCCGATCGAAGAGGTTCTCGACTCCCTCCTCCGTTTTTGGCGGGAAAAACTCGAAGGAGAACACGGTCCTCCCATTTCCCTCCGTCGCCTCCCTGATCTTCTCTATCACCTTCATCTCTCTCCCTCCCTCTCTCTCTCTCTCTCTCTCTCTCTCTAGGTTTTCTCTCACTCTCTGCAGTGAAGAGAGAGAGAGGTTTTTGAGAGCGGGTTTTTATAGAGAAGGGGTTTTGAATAGAAAATGGAGTGGTGGGTTTTCTTTTTCCCTGAGAAAGATTAGATCTTGGCTTCTCTCTCTCTTTTTTTTTTCTTTTTTGCATATACACCCTCATATATGTTCGATTTCGGGTGAATAGCGCTTAAATACTACATAGTTTCACTCACTGTGAACTTATACACCCTCAATTGTCTTTCACAATGTTATCTATGTGAACGCATCTCTATGACACTCACATGCTAACATGTTATAGGTGGCATAAGAAGATATTTGGTGAATTTTCACATTTGCGTAACAGAACTTACGGTGTATGAATGCTGCCAAAAATAAGTTGTGATATGTAAGTGCGAAGTGAACAAAACTAGGAGGCGTTGAAGTGCTGTTCATCCTTATATTTACTACTTTACCTTGCTTTCATTGCTTTCAAGCATTAAGTTGCGTTACCAAGTTTTAAATCTTATTAGAGCGTATTCTGTACGGTTTGAAATGCCCAAGCCCTTGCAGTCGATTTTAGAGCAAACAATTTTTATTCAGGTTAGGAGAATAAATTTGCGAATATGCTAATTTCTAAGCGTGTATGTAGAAAACCCCCCCAAAACAAACAAAAAAAATAAAAATAAAACCCCTCAATCGCTATCATTCACCAACTCGCTCTCTCTTTTGTATCTTACCTGCTCACCAAATTTCGGTGGAGGGTGGGAACTGGTATGGGCGTGAGTTGGGCTCAGGGTTACAAGCCCAACTAGGATCAGAACCTTATCCCTCAGCTCAGCTTGGTTCAGCATTTGCTACACTTTTGTGCATATATTGTAGGTTCACGTACATCTTGTAATAATAGCGTTGCCAACCAAATATGAGAAATATAAATCTGACCATAGTATTTGTTTACATGTTCAGCATTTCTATTTCAAATCGACCGCTCAACTCCTAAAAATAAAGGTGTTTTGAGATAAGTGTATCGATCAATAAGCAACTTCTACTGGGTATTTTTTTCTGCTCCGTATATATTTTTGTCTCTTGTAGTATAAAATTATAATAATATTTCAGGCTAGCATTATCTAAAATAGATGTCGCAGCCACCATATGTCTGCATCACCTGGAGCTCATAACTTCCTGAAGCTCACCAGCAATCATCAAGGGAGCTTTAGGAACTTGCAATAAATTCACAACATTTCATTCGAAGTACACGAGGGCCTCTTCATGTACTTTTACTGATATTATTACCAACATCAGATACTTGATCATCAATATCACTGCCGTACACAGCCAGAAAAACATTCCATGTGAACAAAGAGTAAAAGGGTTTATTATGTCGCGCAACAAAAGATAATATCCATCTTTCAAACTCAATCCACAGCCACAAATAGTTTTATCACAAGGCCAAAATATTCGAGATGGGAATTTCTTGCTATATTATTGTTCAAATAAACATTATATTATTACACCTCTCAAAAGTTGGTAAGACATGAACCACCAAATGATTAGACACTGCACCCTCAAAACTTACCAACAAAAATATCCATATTTCTTTTTTTTTTCCCCTTTCTAATAGAATGCACAGGTCTCCAATAAAATCAAAACCTTATACAAACAAGTAACCCCTCAGGCATCAGCCTCCACTAACTGCATATACCAGCCACAGTAAATACATTAATTAACTCCACAGAAAAATCATAAACCCAAAAATAGAGTCACATGAAATCATAATCATCTATATCATCAAAACGGCCAGTGGCAATATCATCATCAGGCTTATCGACAAGAAGCTGCTTTTTCTTCGCCCCTACAAAATTCAAATACGACCATTGAAAATGTAACTAAGCCCAACTGTAACAGAAGAGGCCTGAAATCTAATGCAAAGATGTTGAAATTTTCACCTTGCTTCTTCTTCCCTGCATTAGCTTCTTTCTCTGCTTTGAGTTTCTCATTTGCGATCGCAGTAACTGAGGAAGCTATATCTTTAACGTCTGCTGCTTTTAATGAAGTTACGGAAAGCCTGATAACAGCTTTAAGAAGACCCGTGTAGTAAAAGCTTCTCTGACCACACAAAAAACAAGCAAGCAAAAGGTAAGTGCCTATAGAAAAAAGACCTATAATTAGCGGAGTCACATTCTAACAGGACAAAAATCTGCATACTTCGAAAGGCCGAATCTTATGAGAGAGTAGCTCAGCATACTCGAGGAAATCACTTTCTGATTTCGGAATAAAATTATCTAGAGATTTTTCAGCGCCTTTCTTATCAAACAGTTCTTTTGTTGCTTTATAATCAGCTTCCTCCACAAGTCTGCAATAAAAACGAAAAATATTAGTACGAAGTTTACAACACATAAACCTTAAACATATGGCGGGTTATGGTTCCTTTACCGTTTGTGTGCAGAAGTAAAAAAAACGAGGAAGCGGGGAATAGAAAGAAAAGAAATAAAGTGTAACACTCACTTTTCTTACATATGAATACTTTGGGATTTCACAAAACCTCCAAGAAGGACCCATTTTGAGATATTTAACCCCAAAATTTTTTGGAAGTATCACTTAACCCCCAAAATTTTTGCATTGTTATGTATCTATTTTCAAATAAACCCTAACATTTGGGGGTTAAGTGACAGTTTTTGAGGGTCAAGTGACATTTCGCATTTTTTTGGAGGCTATCTCAAAACGGGGCAAACTTCTTTTTTTTTCCAGTCAGTCGGGGGTTGTCAAATTTATCCTTTTTTTTACTATGTTCATACTCAAGTGGGACGATTGAAGCAGAAGGGAACTATGAGATGAGGAATAAGATAATTCAAATTTATAAAACATCATTTCCACTTCCACATTTTATTTGAGTAGCCAAATGATATAAGTAGTTGCAACATACAGGCTATCCATTTACAGTATTAGCTCCATGAAGGTTCAAAATGCAAAACAAAGACCTTTAAAGATGAGCTCTAACAGAAGAAAGACAGCAAAATGTACCTTTGTTGGCGAAGCTTCTCTGCAACAGGATCTGCAAGAACTTCATCAGCTACTTGTTTCGCTTTTGATTCGGGTTGCTTTGCTTTCTTCGCTGGAGCTTTAACAGCAGCTTTTGTTACAGCCTTTTCTACTTTAGGCTCTTCTTTGGGTGCCTGTATCAAAAAAAAAAAAGAAAGAAAATCACAACCCCAATCATGATTCAATAACTTTTGGAATTCAAAAGTACCTAATCCCTCAATTCCTTCAAACTCAATACTAACAATAATATCGATTTATTGTATAAAATGCTCAAAGGTGACTCACAGAAAACAAAATTATGGGGGAGATAAATGCTCAAGGGCACAACTTTGATGCTTCGACATAAAATGCAATCTTGCCAAAGATCAGTCAGGTGCAATTAATTTCGAAACAACCACTTGCTATGTAGCCTGTCTTATATGGAAGGCTTTGATTTTGTATAACACAATTTGGGTAACACAAACATGCAAGATAAAAATGTTGCAACTATATTATATGTCAACTAAGGATCAAAATAAAAGTGAACCCAAAAAAAATTTAAAAGAAAGAAAGAAAGAGGAAAGCACCTGTTTAGGTTCTTCTTCATCTTCCCACGATTCTTTGACATCCTCATCATCTGCATCTTCATCATCCCACGAGCCTTTTGGCTGCTCCTTTTTCAAACTAGGTAGCGCCGCTTCAAACTCTTCATCATCTGGCAACATAGATTGTGCAACAATGTAAACAGGACAGAATAATGCTAAAAAAAATTTGAAGCGTATCAGCTAAAGCTATAGCCCAAGCATATCAAATTCCTTAATTAGACCAATGAAACCCAGTATCTCAGTATGTATACTTGTCCAAAGCTTAAAAGGGTTCAGAGAGATGACCATTATTTCTTTCACTTACGTGTCGATTATCCGAAAAGCTTATTATAATTTAACATATTAGAAAAATTAGTAGCCCCCTTTTGATCAAAACACTACCATCTTCCACACTTCGTTTCCAATAAAACTTTTGATATCCTCAAGCCCTCACTACTAAATTATAATAACTATTCATATTATATACTAAACATGGTCAGTGCTGATATAGTTTGTTTTAATCATACGCCAACCTATAAACAACAACAATCTTCTTATGGTAGTTAAAATTTCCCTAGGCAAAAGGTGTGCATCCCGAAAATATCAACTAGCACCACAAGAATATGCATAATAAATCACTACAAACACACTTTCTTAAAACTAAACAACCCAAAATCTAACTGCCACCAACAGCACACAGCTCTCGGCTAACAAACATCCTTGCTTTAAAAAAAAAATCGTCAAAAAAAGAAATTTTGCATAGAACCAAAGATTGCAAACCACCAAAAGCTCAAATTCCACTTACCCCAACCCGCCATCCCAATCTTTTCCCAATCCAAAAGCTTCGAAAGGGAGAAGAACACGCCCCCCGAAGAAGCGATTCGATCGAATTGAGAATTAGGGTTCTGTTAATTAGATCAGAACAAAGTAATCGGGGCCAAATCAAACCTTTCAAGGGAAACCCTAACCTCGGACCGCGGTTTCAATAGTAGAGCGATGTTTTAGAAGAGAAGAAGGATCCAATCTTTTTCGGATTCTATTTGGCTTCTACGAGCCCTTTTAATAACTGTATAAATATACAGACGCGGACGAGGAGGTCCTGGTAGGAGTCGGATTGCAGCGGGCTTGGACCCGGATCCGGTCCCACCCGATAAGAAGTTCGGATCCGGCATTGCGGCATCGGGTTTGGATCTTCACTTATTACTCAGGGGTATCATTGGTTGGGGGTTGTTTGTTATGACTAGCGAGCCCGGGGGGTTGGGGGTTAGAATAATTTTATCTGTTTGGAATATTTTGATTGGTGTAAAGTGGGACAATTTAGGATAATAGGACAATATGAAGATTTGATTTGACAATTCAAGTGGGATAATTGATAATGTGACATCTTATTAAAGTATAATATTTTATTTATCAATTAAGTTTAAATTAATTTATCTAATTGGTTTAGCATATTATTTGGTATGTTATTATAATGTAATACATTATTTTACTTTATACTAAACTATAATATATTATATTATAATTACTAATTAATTATAACTATATTTAATTAATTAATTTAATATAATATATTATAATAATATGATATATTATATAATAATTAATATAATATAAGAACAATATATTTAATATAATATCTCAATAATATAATATTTAATCAACTATTATAATATTTTATTTAAGGGAAAATTGCTTGGAGGAACCAAAAAAAGTTGGCTCAAGCATCCTCCTCCCCAGCCCCAAAACTCTAACCCCCAAGCCCTAAAATTGAAAAAAAAGTGTAACCAAGCCCCAAACCCACTGCCCAAGAAAACAATTCCCAAATTACCCTTCTTCCCCATTTAAAACACAATCTACTTCATCCTCCTAAAATCTGGCCAAAGACCTCCCCCTTCCCCCTCATCCGCATCCTCTCCTCCTCCCCCTTCCCTTTCCTCCCCGACCCCTTCCTCGCCTCCGTCCGCCTCCCCTTCCCCTCCTCCTTCCTCCTCATCCACATCCTCTCCTCCTCCCCCTTCCCCCTCCTCCCCGACCCCCTCGGCTCCGGCTGCCTCCTCCCCTCCTCCCCTACCCTCCGGATAAGAAGAAGCCGAAGGCGAAGAATATGCTGCCGTCGTCGAAGGAAGGCCGGGGGGGGCGCAGTTTATGCAGATCCTGTAGCATTTGCCACGTGGATGAAAGTTCCAAAGAGATGGATAAACTCTAATAATAGAGATTGATTCCGCTGCTCGTGAGAACAAAATGGAATGTTATAAGAAAAAACAAATCAATCAAAAAAATCATCATCGTCATCATCTAGTGGCGTGTTTTATATGGATTCTTGGTTGTCGTGTTGATTTTGTTTGTTATTGGAGAACCGCCCATTATTAGAATTTAGTTCTAGGCATTGATTCAGAAAGGAAATTCATTTTGGGTTTTTGCATTTAAAATATGTTCGAAAACTGGGGGGAAACTAAGGATTGGGCAATCGCATATCTTAAATTTGAAACTATCAGGTTCCATAAAGGGGGACGAGGTGACGACTTCGTGGGCGTAGCGATGGGCATGTAAGTCAAGATGAGTATTATTTGTTTGGGGGGGCAAGACGGGGAGGAAGAAGAAGAAGCAAGGCGAAGGCGTGGGAGACGTATTCTAGAAAGCTGGCCATGCCGGCCTCCCGCCTTGCCCGCTACATACAAGAAGCACATCGACCTGTGCCGTGCGAGAATCAGATCCGTCCGCTCGTCTTTTCTACGCGACGAGCTCGCCAAGCACTGCCTTCTGCGCGAGGGCACAAGGCGCGTCACTAGGTTGCACCCAGCTTCTGAACCGTTGGGCCGGGCTTTGGGTCCGGTCGTGTGCTGCTGGTGTTGTTTGGGATTCAAGGTCTGCGGTTTCGCATGGGGCTTTTTTGGTTGCTTGTTGGAATTGTCAATTTTGTTTAGAAATACAGTAGGTTATTATGGGGGTAGTAGTTTTTGTAATAAAAAGTCGACTTTTGATAATTAAGTGTCTTGATTAGTATGATATATGTCTACTGGATTGTCATCGATCGTATTTTCTTCTGTGTTGCGGAGAATTGTTTCTTTGGTCTCCGCCGAGTCTTGTTCAATCTTTTCTTGTGCTTGTTTGGATTAATCTTACATATTTGGACGTAGTTCTATTTTCTTGGGCGATTTCAGGCCATACGTTTTTTTTGCTATTTGCCATTTATCCTCAGAGTTCAATGGAGCTTGGCATGGCTTTATCCTTATTTTATCTTCTGTGGGTTTAGTGTATGCAGGTGTGGGTGTGGGCTTAGCCGAAGGCAAATTTTGAGTTTTGAGTATTGTTTGTACTGGCAGCATTGTTGTAGATTGGTTCTACGAAGGAAAATGAGATGAATGGGTTGGGATTGTAACATCCTGATGTATTTTTTGTTATGATGGTTTGAAATCAATTCGTGAGGATGATTTTGATCCAATTAGAGTTAATTTGGAAGTGTTGTTATGTTTCTTAGTTTATTCCAAGGTTGAATGAGAAAATGAGGTATTTTTTGGAACATATATGTATCACAGTTAACCGTAATGTGATAAATTAAAGCATATAATGTATTTTCAATTGTTATATGTGACAATTCAATCCTACCATTGTGACGTTCTATCTTATATGTGCGTAATGTTAGATCTGATTTGTGAACTTTTGGGTGTTACATGTGACAACTGAGACGCAATGTGACGTTACGTATTATATGTGAACGTTATACGTGTACTTCGTATCAGCCCTAATTAAGCGGCTTCTCGATCAATTTTAATGACTTCGATCAAGGACCTGTTACGGCTTTCGATGCTCATCTTCCAGAACCAGCTCGGTGTCGGTGGCACTTCCTCATGGGGTGCATCGAAGATCGGGTCGTCGACAGGCCGGTGATGAGGGAGTTGAATTACATGGGATTTTCTAGATTTATAAATGTTAAGAATAACAATGGGGCGGCGCCTTTGCATCTAGCGACGAGGCAAAGATGATTTTTATCTGTTTTAAATTTGTTTGCTTTAAATTTGAGTTTTGTGTTCATTGTTTGTACTGCATATTGCTATAGATTGGTTCTACGAAGGAAATGGGATGATGGGTTGAGATTATAGCTTAGTTATTCAATGTTAAATGAGATGTTTGGTAACTTTCATTTGCAGTCTTTCTAATGTAAGCAACACTCAATGTTATATGTAAATGAAAAAAGAAACATTGTTTGTGGTAAATGAAAAAAGAAATCAAGCGTCCATTTCAATGTTATATGTGACAATTCAATCTTACACGTGACAGTTCTACCTTATATTTGATATTTAGATCTGATTTGTGAAATTTGGGTGTTGTATGTGATAGTTGGGTGTTGCTTGTGACATTTGTTGTTTATACGTGACATTTGGTTGTTTTATGTGATATTTAGGTGGTGCCTGTGACATTTATTGTTTACACGTGATATTTGGGTGTTGTATGTGATATTTGAGTGTTGCTTGTGATATTTGTTGTTTATAC